TAAAAAAAAATAATAATTAATTTCTTTGATCATTTGCCACCAATCTTGAAGATTTGAGGGTGCAGAGTAAAAACATCAACCCCAAAATATAAAAAAAATTGAGGGAGGAAAATAAAATTTTCCAAACCCCATGAGACCGGTCCTGGGCCCATGGGACCAGTCCGGACCAGGCCTCTGGTCCGGGTCCTGATTTTTCTCATGGGCCTAGGACCGGTCCCAGGCCCATGAGAGACTGGTCCCATTTGGGACCAGTCCCAAGGGACCAGTCCCAAACGGGCCCAGGCCTGGGCCCGCAAGGGACCGGTCCCTTGCCCAGGTATAACCCAAAGTATTTGTCTTGCACACTTTCTTATATGTGCATATAATTTTCAATTAACAGTGAATCCATCGAGGGAGGAGACTGAGGATCATGTTCGGTGGTGGAAACTATTCAAGGCTATACGGCAAAATGATTGGAAAGGTGTGGAAGATTTCGTATGCCTAAATCCCGCTGTCTTGACCGAACCGATTAAAGTATTTGAGAGGGAAACGGTTTTTCACGTAATCAGTCGACAATTAAGTGCCCCCTCTTGGCTTATCAAGACGCCCGTATCAGGTGTAACTCCAAACACACTAGAACAGTTGACAGATCAAGGCGGCGAATCGGCTTTATTCATGGCTTGTATGTACGGCAATAGAAAGGCTGCAGAAGCCTTTGTGGGGTGTAATCATCATTTGCCAAACGGGAGGAACTGGGCTGGTTTACTTCCAATTCACACAGCAGCAAAATATGGCCACAAGGAGATAATTCAATATTTACTGGAAGCGACAATTGCTCCCTTGGATGACGACAATGGCGTTCAACTGCTTAAAGAATTAATCACGTTCGGTCACTATGGTAAATACAATCCTTATAGATTATAAAATATGCAATTTACATAACATTCAATCCATTTACAGGTATAGCTTTTGATTTATTGAAGAAATTTCCAGACGTAGTCTCTGAAAAAGAGGACAGAGGGAGCGTTATAGAATTGCTGGCTAATAAGCCACTGGCATTTGCAAGTGGTGGTCAGTTGGGATATTTGCAACAATTAATCTATAACTGTAGGTTACTATTATCGTCTTCTTTAATTTATTGATCTTTCAGTGTCTGTCTATTATAATTGAGGAAGTCATAAAATGATTTTGCAGGGATTTCTGTGCAAGAAGAACAGATTAATAATCTGTTAAAATTGAGGAATTTCAGAAGTTCTAGCTAATAGGCTCTTGCATCACTTTGCAGGTATTCCTGTGCAAGAAGAACATATTCAGTACCCAGGAAGTCTGGTTGAATTCTAAGAGATTCCCTTTTTTGGGATGTATCCGTCGACATATTTTTACTGCATTTGGTTTGTGGATCACCTCCCATCTAAATTAATTAGTTGAATTAATAAATTTATTCCTCTTTTCAATTCTATTAACTTACGATTCTAATTAGAAACTGTATTTTTTTTTGGGTTATATCACAGCTGTTGTGTGCATGAAATTACACCTTATGCTTTGGCATGCCATTATGACTCTAGGTAATTATTAAGCATTCAACTATTTCTAATTAGAATGAGCACTTTAAAGGACATATTCTTTTGTTGAATTACAGTTCCAGGAATAAAATTCATCCGTGATACAAAGTTAATGCAAAAGCAAACCGTTGAAATTGTTAGATTGATGTGTCATGAGGGAGTTATTTGGAGTACTGATGGAGAATTAAAAGTCATTAAGAGTCCCAATTCTTACAGCCGCAAGAATGGGGATCTCCGAGATTGTTCCTGAAATTCTGGACGCCTATTACTATTCTTACTGCTTTTGGGACGAAAATGGTCATGCTATATTTCATCTTGCAATAATACATCGCCAAGACAAAGTCTTTAGTCTCCTAAATGAATCGGACTTATTTTTATTGGAGTGGAAAACAGCAAGCAAGGGTTAAAAAACTGACAACATATCGCATTTGACTGGAAGGTTGTTACCTTCAAATCGAGTGCCTGGAGCCGCATTGCAGATGCAAAGGGAACTAAAATGGTTCAAGGTGATATATCTTCTTTATATAGCTTGCAATAACCGTGCAATAATCACAAAGATTAAAAGCTATTTATATTTGTGATGTTGTTTTATGCTATTTATACTTGCATTGTTGTTAATTTTATGCTCAGGCTGTGAAAAGTTATGTGCATCCATCCCTCCAAGAACAACGAAATGGATCCAATAAAACTCCTAAAGAAGTGTTTACCGAAGAACATAAGGAATTGGTTAAAGAAGGTGAAAAATGGATGAAGGAGGCTGCTTCATCCTGCATTGTGGCTGCTGCACTCTTTTGGTTGAAATGTTCTTATCCACTTATGGACATACCATGTTTTAACCAATGCAGTAACTCTCCTAACTGATGAAGAAGCAATGACAAGTCAGCATATGAGTTCCAGCTCAGCAACATCTGTTCACAAACAGTCTGTTGTTCTGTTAAGTCAGTTAGTTGGTGTGGTGAGAAAAGTGTGTTAGTTTAAGCAAGCAAAGTTTTTTAAGAACTTTCTGTTATTTTCAGTTTCTCTTTTATCACCTGATGGTCAGGAGATTTCACCAGGATTGCCAATATTGTATTGGGTATATAAACCAGAACTGTAGTCTTGAATACTTAATGAAAAACTTGTTTTCTTTGTTGTAGTTTCCTCTATTGGTTGAAATTTGGATAAGACCAAGCAGTTAAGTTCATATTGACATCTTTTACTTTGCTAACATCTGGTTTTTTGAGCTGTCCAACTTGTATTTTAGAGAACTGGCAATCTGATGATTGTTGCAATAATAAGATGATTTGTACATGATTAACAGATAATGGAATTTATAGATTAAAAAAAAACAGAGCTAATCATGGTTTTGTAACTCCCCTTAGTCTTTTCCATTTCTTATTCTTTGTCTTCAGTAGCTAAATATGGTTTTGTAACAGCAGATGAAATATTATGCAGAAAATTGTTTGTAATTTGCATAATAAACTGATACTACAGAGCCAAAAAAACAGAGTTTGTGTGATTCTGTCTGCAGGTTTTTCATTCTGGATTTTCTGGAATTACTTAGACTGATATCGTCAAATTGTTTTAATCAAAGCAAAGAGAACTCTAAATATCCTAAAAATTACGAAACGTCAATATGTTATGGAATTAACCACAGGGAAAATACCAAAAGACTTCTTCACAGACAAGTGAAGTTCCGATTTCTGCATAATTTAGATACTTCAGAAGTCCACTAATTTCCTAGTATAGAAATTTTGTATAGGGGAGGGCTAGCGGCTAGCCGGTTAAGCCCTTTGAAGAAAGAATGTAATCATATATCTAATTCTTTATAACAAAGATTAATTAAATTGGCAGAAAACATAAATATTTAGCCAGTCTTTATTTTTGTTTTTGTTTTTTATGTAATCTCTTTATAAATGAATTGTTTTTTCATATTTTTTTTTTTTTATGTTGTCCATTTTGCCTGGAAATGTTCCTTGTTATCTGAATTCCCAACACTTTCTAGTTTTAAAAGAAGAGAATTTCAACTTTGATTGCTAGTTAAGAAATGAACCAATGCCAAAACAAAAAATTGGTACATAAATATTCTGTTTGCAAACGGAAAAAATGGTAAAAATTCATGAAAGCTTAACCCACATATGCAATTGGCATCACATTTTAATCCTATCTTAAAGCATTACAGCTTAAAGATATTACATATTTTCGAACACTAGACATTGATTTGTAAAAGCAAAAGCAAAGCCGTAGAGATAAAGAACAAAGTAAAATCAAAGAACAATATCATAAAAGTGAAAAGAACATCCATTGTTTTCACTCAAAGAACAATAAAAAATTCCAAAAGTTTCATTTCGAGGGGAACTGGGGAAGGTATTGCTTTGCAACAACTCAAATTATTGATCACATTTCTTAATTAATGCCGGGGGAGGCCTCAATAAATACAGATTATAACATATGTATGTTTATTAATTTCTCCTTAAAGATCGACTCTTAAAACTTGTTTTCCTCCTTATATTTCTTTCCTTGGCTTTCAAATTGTTTTCCTCCTTATATTTCTTTCCTTGGCTTTCAAATCTTGGAAATTGTCACTATATTTTCAACTTTTGGAAGGATACAAAGAGAGGGAAGAAAAAATAAATTGCATGGAGCAAAAGGTCAGTGATAAAGGTGAAGTGCTGGAGCCTGTTCAACCTAACAGCTTTATCAGAAATGAAGAGTCCAGTGGTAGGAGTCATGACCCTCCAAAGACAGAAAGTAAGTTAAATTCTGATAGTATCATTTAATTACTTACAGTATTTGTTTCTTACAAACTTTCTCGTGTTTAATTTCTTCTTAGACCCAAACATTACTTAAATTTATTGGATATGGGCGTATTTTAGTTAATGAACAAGGTTAATTAAAACAAAGAACCCATGGCTAATAGTATTTATGTCTTACTTTCTCATGTTGATGTGGGCATATAATTTGCAATTAACAGTGAACCCAATAAGTGAGGATCATGTTAAGTACTGGAAATTATGCAAGGCTTTTCAACGAAATGATTGGAAAGGTGTAGAAGATTTCGTAACAAAATGATTGAACTGCTAAAATCTTTTATCAGTTCTGGTCTCTACAGTAAGTGTCATTGCCATATATATTCCATATTAGTTAGATAACATTCAATTGTCAACGTAAACTCTGAAAGTATTTGTCAATAATTATGTTACCTCAACTCCATTTACAGGTTCAGCTTTTGATTTATTTAAGAAATATCCAAACTTAGTAACTGAAAATGAGGATTGAGGAAGTATACTAGAAGAGCTAGTTTATAAGCCACTGCCACTGGCATTTGAAAGTGGCAGTCGGTTTGGATATTGGCTACGTTTAATCTATCATTGTATATATGCTACTCTCTAGCTACTTTCTATATGGAATCTATCACTAGACAGTATGTCAAAATTAACAGCGCTTGCATGTTTTTGTAGGGATTCCTGTGCAGGAAGAACATATTCATTATCCCACAACTGTGCTTAGAGACACAGAGAGTCAAATTGAGACTTTAAAGAAGTTCAAAAAATTCACTTATTTTGGATCTATTAGTCGACAAATCTCTACTATATCTGGTTTGTAGATCACCTCCCATATCTAATTTTATTTAATGATCCATCTTTTAAATTCTATTACTTATAATACTAACTAAAAGATGCTATTTGTTTTATATCAAAGCTGCCTTGTGCCAAAAGTTTCACATTTTGCTGTGGAATGCCCTCATTAATCTAGGTATATGTTCAACTATTTCTAATTAGAATGAGTACTTTAAAGACATATTTCTTCTGCTGACTTGAGTTGAATTACAGTTCCAGGCATCAAATACATAAGTGATATAAAGTTGATGCACATTCAAACCCTTGAAATAGTTTGAATGATGTGCCATGAGGGAGTTATATGGATTAATGCTGAAGCCTCGAAGTCATTGGCTACTCCAATTTTAACAGCCACAAGATTCGGGATTTGCGAGATTGCACGCGAAATTTTCAATGCCTATTTCTATTCTTGTTTTTTTGAACAATTAACATGTTATTTCATGTTCAGGCTGTGGAAAGTTATGTCCATTCATCCTTTCAAGATCAAAAAAATTCATCCAATAAAACTAAAGAAGGTGAAAAATGGATGAAGGATACTGCTTCTCGTGCACAGTTGTAGCAGCACTGATAATTAAAGTAGTGTTTGCAGCAGCTTTTACTGTACCTGAGAGCAAAAATAATGACGGCATACCCAATTTCTTGCACATAATACCTTTCATAGTCTTTGCTATATCAGATGCCCTTGCACTCTTTTCTTTTATCGCTTTAGTTCTGATGTTCTTGGGAATCCTCACTTCACGTTACTCAAAAGATGATTTTTTGGAGTCATTGCCAAAGAAGTTGATGGTTGGCCTTATGAACTTGTTCTTTTCAATTGCAAGCATGATGGTAGCGTTTGGTGCAACATATTACATAGTTCTTTCAATCCCATGGAAATGGGTTATCATTCCAATTGCCTCACTTGGTTGTCTCCCAGTCATGTTATTTGCATGGATGCAGTTTCCTCTCTTGGTCGATATATTTATATCCACTTATAGGCCTACTGTTCGCTTTAACCGCAATTAAGCAAATTGAGGATGTATGACCATGAAATTTTATCTTCAGAAGCTAAACAAGGTCTTTCTTGTTTAACTATATAGTCATTATCAGTTTCAATTTCTTCTTATATTTATTGTAAATAACACATTAATTTGTTCTTAATACTAACTAAGATCTAGTTATTATAAGCTTGATAGAAACGTTGAACTCAAAGCAGAACAAAACCAGAGCACCACATTACAATCAAACAGAGCAGCCTATTCCTTTAGCAGTATTGGTTTCAAATTTCATCCATTTTAAGCACTTATTTGACTCTATCTTTGAAAATTAATATAAACAAAAACCAGAAATCGTTGGCAGATGAGCTTTTAGCTCAAACTAATTAGGAGGAATTGAGAAGAGAAGTGTTTTGGAAGACAAGATTACCATTCCTTCTCAAATTTGGCTTGTACAAATGGTTGGGTGTCACCCATTTTTATAGTGCTCAAGGGCCTAGATAGTAAATTCACAAATAAAACGCAAATTTTATGCCCAGCTGTATAATTTGCATATCATTTGCAAATTTCCGTATGTTATCAGCACATCAGTATTATTTGCGAACTATATGCCTCAGATAATTTATTCGTGAATTATTCCCGTATCCGAATTATTCTCGAATTTTGACAAAGGTATTTTTCACCATTTATCGTATCATGCCCGTAGCCGACCCGTTTTTACTAATTAGGGCGAGTCTCTGTTATAGACTATAATTTGAATCTTGGTTGTATTATTTATTTATTTTATTTGTTTAGAGCTCTAGTTCGACTTTGAATTTTGGTTTTGTTACGTGTTTAATTTGAGATTATAATTGAATCTTTGCTATATATAGTGTTTGAATCTGGAGACTATAATTTGAATCACAATTACAGTAAAACCTCTCTATAATGATACTCTATATAGGAATAAACTCTACATAGTTATAAAAAATTATAGTCCCAATTCGAGATAGTTATAAATAAGAATAAACTCTGCATTGTAATAAGTTATAATTTTTCTAATTTTGTCTTAAGGAAAGATGTCTCTATATAGTAATAATTATCTATATATTACAAAAAAAAAAAAATATATGTTATGTAAAACTAAGGTTTAAAATGAAATAAAATATTTATTTAAAATTATTTGAGACAATGATTTAAGCTTTAGAGTTATTATCACATCTTTTACCTTACGAGTACGTAATAACTCGTTAGTATGGATACTTTCTTATTAAAGCCAGAATATATTTAGTTTCTCAAACATGTTTAGAGCTTCATGACACAAAACTTTTTGTATTTTTGTACTATTATTCTTAAAATTATTTCCTTTCTTTTTTTGTCTAATTGCAACAATGATTTCGCTTTTGGTTAAAACATACACGATTTGTTGCTCTTTTGGATAATCGAAGAAGACATTAATATTCATTCGATTAGTGTAGTGAAATTATTGAATCTGATCACTCAATTCTATAATGACTCTTTTATTCTCCTCATCAGTTTCATTTGTAACTTACAATTCATTAATATTAGTGGTCCAAATTTTGCAGCACTTAAAACCATTGCCAATTGTCTGTAGCTTCACATCAATTGACCATGTATCAATTACATTTACAGTTCTATCAATAACACTTATTTTTGTTAGTTTTAAGAAACAATATTTTATCTGTTTTAAAAGTAGGCAATTGAACGTTGAATTGAAATCTTAATGTTACTAAAATATGAATTAAAATCCTAATCCTGTACTACTAAAACATGAATTATAAAATAGGAAATCAAAACTATAATTTTTGTAACTACACCTCCATTAAGTTATAACCTCTTTATAATAATAAAATTAGTTAGTCCCACCATTATGACTATAGAGAGGTTTTACTGTACATATTGTGTTATATTATTAGGTCTAATGATTATTGATTAATTGAATACTTTGTATTTGAAATGCTATATTGATTTTAACTATGTGGTTCATGAAAAGTGTTAAAACTAGGATTAAATGATTGATATTACCATATTTTTCAAAACGTATTATTGACAATATAAACCCGTATATGTTCATACCGTATTTTTTTCGTATTCGAATTTTATGACCGAATTTTTACAAATGTATTTTTTTATCATTTGTCGTATCATACCTGTAAAATTCCCGTACCTTTTTTTTTGCCATGTCCTTATTTACTAACTAGGCTCCAGGGAGTCTTTTACACTCCAACTCCTAACTACCACATACCCTAATAAATATTATCTATCATATTCTATAATTAATAGCTAACTCACAACTTTCTAATAAATGAGATATTTTTACAAGATATTTCTAGTCAATGTCTATTATTTAGGCTAAATACATGGGTCAAATATGAGTTTGGGCTTAGAAAGAATATTAAGCTAACAATTTATATGAGTTGAAGTGATAAACCCAAATAATCTTGGGCCGAAATAAGTTTAATGGTCAACATAAATGGCTTGGATATAGAATAAATGGACATCAAACTACCAAATCTAATACTAATTAAATTCGATGTGACTCATCCAGCTGAGGATATATAACTACTGACTTCAAGCTGAAGTTCATAATCTTCAGAAGATTTAATCAAGACTCCTTTATTTTCACGTGATATTGGAGTTCCACCAGAAGTTTGATCTTCACAACAAACTGATCCTTACTTAAATTCGGTTTTGAAGTTGAAGTTTTCTCCCTTTTTCTCCTCTTTTGTAAAGAACGAAAGAGATGATCCTTATACCAGGGTAATATATATTTGTGAAACCAATTTATCCACCAGAAAAGCCAGCTAGAGAGCAGCGTATTGGAGTACATGCAGGTAGAAAAATAGCATAAATCATCAAAAGATAAAACATAGAGAACTAATTATGGAATAAAATACAAATAGCACTATGTTTCTTTGGTTATTTCATTCTTTAACTATCTTTTCCCTTTTTCTTTTTCTTTTTCTTTTTGGTTTTCTTCAATTTGTAGGGACGAGTTCCTGATTATCCGAATTCCATTTGTCTAACAGATCCCCCCACACTGACTGTTTGTAGAAAAAGAAAATTGCAACTTTGATTGTGACAGAAGAAATGAACCGATGCAAACCATTAAGAAGAAGATTCATTAGTTCATTAATTAATGAAATAGTATATCGCTATGTTTCTGGAAAATCTGGAAGGAAAATGAAAAGGCAAATTTGGAGAAAAAGGAATTATATATGAAAGTTGATGAAAGGCTTCATGGCTGCATATATATATATGTATATATCGTTGAGCAAAAGCTCACCAATTAAGAACAAATACTATAATTGAATTAAGCAAATATAAGAGGGAAAAAAGAACAAAAAGAATTTGATTGTTGAGCTGTGTAGATTAATCTACTGAAAAGCTGCAGAGTAAAAGAAACTTCAAAATCTTTTACAACAAGGTCTAATTAAATATTGTAAAAATGGCTCTTTAAATACTGATTTGAACAGAAGTTCATTAGTTTGTCCTGGACACCTATTGAAACTTGTCTTCCCCTTGGTTTTGTTCCTTCGTTTTTTGAATCTTGGACTTGATTGTCACAATATATAGAAAGAGAGGAAATCACTTACATGGAGCAAACGGTCAGCAATGAAATAAAGTCCAGCGGTGAAGCTGAACCCAGTAGCAGCCGTCATGGCCCTCCGAAGAGAGAATGTAAGTCAAATACACACACACACATATACGTGTATATCAACCTTTCTTTAGGAAAACGATTGCTTCTAAAAGCCTATAATCTTTGAGAAACAGGAAACAATGACTTTTGAACTTTATCTTGTGATACACTAAGAGTATTTAGTATTAAATTCTTATACTCATTCAATGACTGATAGTATTTTGTGTCTAACAATTTACAATTAACAGTTAATCCTTCGAGGGCGGAGATTGAGGATCATGTTCGGTGGTGGAAGCTATTCAAGGCTATACGGCAAAATGATTGGAAAGGTGTAGCAGATTTCATACGCCTAAATCCCGCTCTCTTGACCGAACCGATTAAAGTATATGAGAGGGAAACGGTTTTTCACGTAATCAGTCGAGAGTTAAGTGCCCCCCCTTGGCTTATCAAGACGCTCGTATCAGATGTAAATCCAAACACACTAGAACAGTTGACAGATCAAGACGACGAATCGGCTTTATTCATGGCGCTTCTATATACGGCAATAGAAAGGCTGCAGAAGCCTTTGTGGGGTTGAATTATCATTTGCCAGACAGGACGAACCGCGTTGGTTTACTTCCAATTCACACAGCTGCAAAATATGGCCACAAGGAGATAATTCAATATTTACTGGAAGTGACAAGGACTCCCTTGAATGACGTCAATGGCGTTCAACTCCTTATAGATTTAATCACGTCTGGTCACTATGGTAAATACTAAATACTATCCTTATAGATTTCAAAATAGGCAATTTACATAACATCCAATATTTGTCAACTACATTTACAGGTGCAGCTTTTGATTTATTGAAGAAATATCCAGACTTAGTTTCTAAAACAGAGGACAGAGGAAGCGTTTTAGAAGCGCTAGCTAATAAGCCACTGGCATTTGCAAGTGGTAGTCAGTTGGGATATTTGCAGCAGTTAGTCTATCATTGTACGTTACTCTCTATCATCTCCTTTTATTCTTTATCTTTAGTTTTTATTATTAATTGAGGAATTTCAGAAGTGCTGGCTAATAAGCTTTTGCATCACTTTGCAGGTATTCCTGTGCAAGAAGAACACATATATTTCCCAGGAAGTGTGGTTAGAGATGTAGAAAATCAATATGAGAATTCTAAGAGATTCTCTTTTTTTGGATGTATCCGTCGACATATCTTTCCTGCATTTGGTTTGTGGATCACATCCCATCTAAATTTATATGTATTAGTTGAAATAATAAATTTATTCCTCTTTTCAATTCTATTAACTTACGATTCTAATTAGAAACTGTATTTTTTTTTTTTTTTTGGTTATATCACAGCTGTTGTGTGCATGAAATTACACCTTATGCTTTGGCATGCCATTATGACTCTAGGTAAATATTAAGCATTCAACTATTTCTAATTAGAATGAGCACTTTAAAGGACATATTCTTTTGTTGAATTACAGTTCCAGGAATCAAACTCATCCGTGATACAAAGTTAATGCACAAGCAAACCGTTGAAATTGTTAGATTGATGTGTCATGAGGGAGTTATTTGGAGTACTGATGAAGCCTTGAAGTCATTAAGAGTCCCAATTCTTACAGCCACAAGATTGGGGATCTACGAGATTGTTCGTGAAATTCTGGACGCCTATTACTATTCTTACTGCTTTTGGGACGAAAATGGTCATGCTATATTTCATATTGCAATAATACATCGCCAAGAAAAAGTCTTTAGTCTCCTAAATAAATTGGACTTATTTTTATGGGAGTGGAAAGCAGCCAGCAAGGATGAAAAAACTGACAACATATTGCATTTAACTGGAAGGTTGGTACCATCAGATCAAGTCCCTGGAGCCGCATTGCAGATGCAAAAGGAACTAAAATGGTTCAAGGTGATATATCTTCTTTATATAGCTTGCACTAACCGTGCAATAATCACAAAGATTAAAAGCTATTTATATTTGTGGTGTTGTTTTATTTTATGCTATTTATACTTACATTGTTGTTAATTTTGTTCTCAGGCTGTGAAAAGTTATGTGCATCCATCCCTCCAAGAACAACGAAATGGATCCAATAAAACTCCTAAAGAAGTGTTTACCGAAGAACACAAGGAATTGGTTAAAGAAGGTGAAAAATGGATGAAGGAGACTGCTTCATCCTGCATTGTTGCAGCCGCACTCATAATCACTGTAGTGTTTGCTGCAGCTTTCACTTTACCAGGGGGCAATGACAATGACGGGACCCCTAATTTTTTGTCTAAGAAATCGTTCAAAGCCTTTATCATATTCGATGCGCTTGCACTCTTTTCCAGCAGTGCTTCTTTGCTGATGTTCATGGGCATCGTCGCTTCACGTTATTCAGAAGAAGATTTTCTGGAGTACTTGCCAAAGAATTTTATTATGGGCCACATCGCTTTACTCCTCTCTGTCATATGCATGATGATAGCCTTTGGTGAAGCCATGTTCATGATCCTTTCTCATAAATGGTTACCACTTTATCTACCACTATCCTTTGTTGGTTGCCTCACAATGATCTTATTTTCAAGGCTGCAGTTTCCCCTTTTGATTGAAATGTTTTTATCCACTTATGGACGTAGCATGTTTTAACCAATACAGTAATGAATAATGTAACTCTCCTTATGTAATACATATGCAATGTTCTTAATTTGCTAATTAAGTTACAATTTCTATGTTTTTCTTTAATTCAATAGACTTGTTTCTGTAAGCTACTACGTATATTGTATGCAGTTTCTATTGATCACCTCCTTATATAAACTTTGTTGCCGCCAGCCGATAATAGCCAATAGGATAAGTAGTGCACCAAAATTACACCTCCTCAATGGCCAAGGAGATAACAGACCTGGTCATCAACTTTTCAACTCAAAATCCTTTCAAGTTAAAGCCTACATCTTCTGGGAAGGGCACGGGTGAAGTTTTTAATAAAGAAAAAGGTTTGCTTTGTACATGTGTAGGGATTTTGCACGAGGACTTTTTCTTGCAAGGGATTGAAGTTTGGTTAGTTTCGAGTCAATTAGCTTGACCCACTAAAATATGCAGTTGTGGGTAAATGTGAAAGGAAGCTTGTGTTATGCATATAAACTTTCTATATTAATTTAACAATCACTGTCGTCTTTGCAGCAGCTTTCACTATACCAGGTGGTAACAAAGAGGGTGAGATACCCATTGCGCTTGCGATCTCTTCTCTTCCACTGCTTCATTGCCAATGTTCTTGGCCATCCTCACCTCCGTTACTCAGAAACCGATTTAATTTCTGAAGTCCAAATTATGGCGTTCTCACCATATGGTGTGATGGTAGCATTTGGTGCAACCATTTACATAGTTATGTTTCATCCATGGACCAATTGTCTTGCTTGGTTGTATCCCAGTGACCTTATTTACCTTGTTGCGTTTTCCTCTATTCGTTGAAATTTACTAATCCACTTATACATCAAGCATTTTTCAAGCAATTAAGTAAATTAGGGTGTAATTCTCATATAGAGACGATTTGTCCCTGAACTAAATAGGGCTGGTAAATATTAATTCCACTCTTTAAATATGATTATTGGTGTGCATATACTTACTCTTCTTGGGTCCTTCCTTTTTCTTTTTCTTTTTAAATATGATTAGGAAAGGTAAACTCCCAGAGAAACAGAGTACAATAATACTGTTTTCTAAATAATAAGTGTTGTTCGATAAAGGTTTAGATTGAAATTTTTGTACCTTCTATACTCTCTCATATAAAACTAAAAAAAATTAAATTATCAGTAGTTTCATCATACGGCCAGCCACGACGATGGTCTGCTGCCATATCTGGTGGTACGCTCTGCAAAGTGGACTCCATCGGAATAGTCTTTCAACAATCTATTACTCTCCTGACTAATTTTACAACATATAACAAGATATATGAAAAAACTAGTCAAGAATTGATTTATGGAAAACATATATTTACTTGTAAGACTTTTAGTATCCTCTTATATGTTGGAAGAGGAGCTTTTTAGCTCAATACTAATTAGGAGGAATTGAGAAAAGTAAGGCTCCGTTTGGTTCACAATTGGGTGTTTTTAGGAAAAGTTTTTTGAAAAAAGTAAAAAAAAAAAGTTGAATTGGGCGGGTATTACGATGTAGGATTTATAAATTATAAAATACCCCTTATATTTGTTTCTTTACAAAACACCCCCTATAATAAAATCTTAAAAGTTAACAAAAACACCCCCAACCCAATGTCAAATACGAACAGCCGGCCACTACCGCCGGAGGGTGGCCGGAGTTGCTGTAACAAAAACATTAAAAATATTTAGAGGTATTTAATTGAATTAACAAATTTAGGGAGTTTAAAAAATATTGAATAAAGTTGAATAATATTGTGAGTTTTTGGGTATTTTACTGTTTAACTTTTTTGGGAATACTAAAAGTAGTATTCCCAATTGACAACCAAACGGAGCCTAAGTGTCTTAGAAGAGAGGTCACAAATTTTTGCTGGTACAAAATGGCTAAAGGTCACCCCCTTCATAACTAATATATACCCTAATAAATATCATCTACCACTTTCCATAATTAATAACTACATAACAGCTCACTAATAAATGAGATATTGTTATAAGATCTTTCTAAGTACAAAGCCCATTATGGTTGGGTTAGATATATGAGTCAAATATAGGTTTTACTTGGGCTTAGGAAGAAATATTAAACTAGCAATCTATAAGCCTGTTTAATTGATAAACCCAGATATTATTAGGCTCAAATCAAGTTTAATATTCAACAGTATTCGGCTTCGGCATGTTCTTCGCCCTATATATTTTTCCCTTCGCTTTCCAACGATGCAGGATGATGAGTATTAATAATGTCTTATATATTTACAAAAGTTTTCATTCAAGTATTTCGATTCCAAGTAATCTATCAACTTCTCTGGTCTTTTGCGTTTTTCAATTTTTGTCTTCCCTAGCTAATCATGGTTTTGAAACTGCAGATAAATAATATTAATTTAAGGTCTTAAAAGATATAAATTTAAGGTCTAATATTAATTGTATTCACTTTCTATCTAAATCTACGGCCACTTGACCCCATGACTCCGTCTACGGCCATTAGAGGGCCTGCTAGAGGCTAGCCGGTTGCGTTCTTTGAAGAAAAAAAAAAATTATATATTTATATATCTAATTTTGTATAGTGAAATCAAATTAGGCATAATATATAAATATTAATTAAGACTTGTATTTTTTTTCTCTCAAAGTCTATCTACATATAATCTCTTTATAAATTTATAATAAATTGTTTGTTATCGATACATGACACTTTGTCGAATTTCTAGTTCAATAAATAATTTCAGGTAATACTCTCTCTTAAATAAGATTCTACCTATTTTGTATTTTCATATGTTGTTACTTGTTATTGGTATGAACCACGTTAATCCTTTTTATATTTTGTTGAGAAGGTTAATAATTGTGATGATTTTTTTTTTTTTATTAAAGGTGTTTGAACCAATTTACGCGTATCTCAACTAACCCTTCGAGACTTTGAAACTACCGATTAGGTAAAAGCTTCAGTTACTACTCCTATTAGTAACCGAGGAGAACTCAAACTCAGGATCTCTTAAGTAATACACTCAAAAATTCTTATCAAACCACTGGACCACCAAGAGATAGTTAATGATTCCATATTATTGTTTTCTAATTAAAATATTGAGATTACTATGTATACAGTCGGCTCTTTTTCGCAACATTTAACAATATATCAACAACAAAACAATCCCAAAAGTAACAATATATATATATATATATATAATTATAGAAGAGAGGGAGAGACGGGGTTCTTTGGAGAGGAGGGAGAGAGAGAGAGAGAGGAGTTATGGAATTTATATAACGTATCTTCTTCTTTTATTTTATTTGCTAGCTTATTGCTGTCCAGTTTGTGGGGACATATTCATAGTTACCTGAATTCCTAACGTAATTTTTGTTTAAAAGAGAATTGCAACTTTGATTGTTAACTAAGAAATGAATAGATGCATTAAATTTTCATAAAATTGATGAAAATTGTACTGAGCTTGCATGTAAAAAAAAAAAAAAAAATGGACTGATATTTCTTGAGATGATCAAATGAAAAAGATGGTACAAATTATTGAAAGCTTAACCAACAGATGCAAATGGCATCTCATATTAATCCTATGTTTAAATACAGCTTGAATGTTATCTCATAAAATTTTATTGGTTAATTAAGTCATACAATTTCGAACTGTGAACATCAATTTTTTGGTAAGAAATATTTCTTCCATATATGAAATTCTACAAACGTAAAGAGAAGTACAAGAAGGGCAAAGCAAAGCCCAGAGATAAAATTCAAAAAAAAAGTGCCACGTGATGGATGCATTTCAATAAGATAAAAAAAATAAAAATACTTACCAGGTTTTCACTCAAAGAACAATAAAAAATTCCAAAAGTTTTATGTGGGGAAGTAAGGTATTGCTTCCCACAACTCAAATTATATTTCCAATTCTTCTTTACGAATTGGATGAGGTATTGCCTTATATAACTTGAAAACTGGTGCAATGTTTCTCTAAAATTTTACTGATCAGCGATCACTTGACCAGCAAAAGTTAGACAAATAACATACATGGAACTTCTGTGAATTAGAAGGGAACTTTACTAATTGGTTTTTCATTCATTATACTTTACTGATGATTTAATGTCTAATATAGCTTGCACTTATATTACCTACTTTCTCAATATATACAGAAATGATGAAGAAATTGATAGCGGGTGCAGAAGTTGATAAGGAGAAGTTTGTTCGGTACTGGCCATTACGCGAGCTATACAACAGGATGATGGAAAGCTGTTGGAGAATTCACTAGAGAATTACCCGCAGGTGTTCACGGACAGATTTCCGAAATTTCTTCAACCTTTTTCCACGTAATGTGACTATAGATAAGACGCCGCAATTTCATTGTTGCGAGAGAGTGTACCGAAGTTTACAGAATCTGTATTGGCAAAAGATGCTAGTGGCGCGACGGCTTTATCGTTAGCAGCAGCTCTTGGCAATAAAAAAGCCGTAGAAATCATTGTAAATCTTGCCCTGATTCACAAACGCACTTCTAAGTATGGGGCCTATGAGCAATATCCTTCCAATTCATGGCAGCAATTTTGGACACGAGGAAGTAGTTCAATTTTACTTCCACGGACTAGATTACTAATAGAAGAAACACAGAACCAATTCTGCTGGTTCTATTTCTGCTCGGTGTTTCTATCCATTGGGTTAGTGCAATTTAAACCTTAAATATGCGGGATATCTTTTTTTCACTTAGAACTATTTAATTTATTAATTATGGCATAGTCTCATAGTTGACTTTTGGCTTCTTTAAACAATACAAGTTGTGCTCGCTGTTATTTAGTTTCTCTCTATGCAAGGTATAACTTTTCGTGTATTTAAGAACCAACTGCGCGATCGTGGTTTGCATCCAAAGCAAAAAGAGTGGATTTTAGGAACGCTGGCGCAAAGCCTAAGTGGTTTAAAAGTGGGAGTCGGATTGGATTTTTGCAACGCTTCATCTATAGTTGTATCAAATAATCCCGCTATCTTTCACTTTGTCAATCACATGTCTAATGCACCCACATATCACATAATCTTCTCATTATAGTCTAGGGATTTTTAAAAAAAATAATAATTAATTTCTTGAT